TTGCCTACATGACTAAACTTTATCTCACTCACTACAGTGGGAATCAGCAAAGCTGGGAATGTTTGTGGTTGGTATGTGGTCCTCTGCCTAGAGCTCAGGCCACAAATCGGGTGAAGTTAAGCAGCGTTGGGCATTGAGAGTCCTTGGATGGGCGACCAAGTTTGGCAGCTAGACTCCTGAGATTCTTTTTCAGAGAGATCGTCCTTGGGGTACATATATGCTTTTTCTGCGGCTGAAAATGTCCTGTGACAGTTATATCAATGTTTAAATAAAAATATTGTACAATAAATAAAATCTTTTTTATCTATTATACGGCCCCCACCACGTGGAGTTACCTCCCTGCTACGCATGCGCAGCCAACCAGGTAAGCACCTAGGCCCGTATCATCATTGCTTCTGCTGTCACTCAACCGTTCAGACGTGTTTCGAGTTGCCTTGCTGAAAACCTCTTGTTTAAAGAATAATGTCTGAGACTTCAACTGTATGTATGGTCTTTATTTGTTCTTGACAGAACAGTTTATAAGACTTTTGCAGTCTGTTATTTCTCATTAATGTGACTTTGTATTAAACTTTACGCTAGCTTTCCCATGGTTTACGCACGTGTTGCTTTTCCATGGCGGGAAATTTAGCGTGCCACGTGGTTGTCATATTGTGTTATTAACCAAGTATTTCTTCCCGTGGTCACATTCACATAATTTTCAATGTTTTGTACATGTATATTTATGCTGCTGGCTCCGCTGTTAGCTACATGCTTGCGTGTTTGCTTTCAGACGTTTACTGGGTGTTCTGTCTGCGGGCAGAACATCCCCAGAGCCTCGAGAAAATCGGCCACAACCCTGATATTTGTGAACTTTGCATGGCCTTCTCCCCGGGCCCAGAAACGGAGGTCCGCGGATTTTCTCTTCTACAAAGAGTTGCGAGAGGCGGGAGGGGAACTGACCCAGGAGGTCCCCCTGTCTAAAGCTAAAAAATCTAAGCCGGCTAAGGAACCTAAGTTGCATAAGGCGACTCCTCAGTCACACAGTGGTTTTGATATGTCTTAAATTACACAACTTTTCCCAGCAGCATATGGACTCACTTAAGTCCCTTGTTCATGAGTCGGTTGGAGGTCTCCGTCAGGAGTTCCTCGCCCACTCTGAGCAGGGGACGGAGAGTCCGGGGGTGGGATCACCGAGCCTGGCTAGATCCCTTAGCCTGGAGGCGTCGGCTATCCCGGGGTGTGTGTGTGGAGGTGAGGGGTGTAGTGTGTGTGTGTGTGTGTGTGTTTGCTCCCAGTCCCCCTCTCGGTGTTGGCTCAGGGTCCGTTGAGGATTCCTGGGGTTCTGTTCCCTACGCCGCCCCGCCCCATGAGAGCGGAGGAGCCAGTTCTGCCTGGTCTTCCTCCTGTGTCTCGGGACCGGGGTTGAGTGTGGTGTCGGTTGCCGGAGCGGGGAGTTCCTTCGGCTCTCTCTTTTCCTCTGTGTCTGGGGCTCGGCCTCCCACCAGGTCGGGGTTCGGATCCTCTTCGCGAGGAGACACGGATTCTGACTCGGGCTTAGGTGCCGAGTCTATGGAAGTTGGGGAGGTCGAGGAGACGGAGGGCAATTTCCGCTTCTCGTTGGCTCTCCGGGGGGTGCGGAAGCGTATTGCTGAGTTCATTCCCCAAGCCGCGGTACCCACCAGTCACTATGACTCATTTGAATTCCGCCTGCCGGGCGAGGCGTTTGCCCCTAAGCTACTGCTGCAGCTACCTCCTTCAAGGACTCTAAGGCCTTGTTGGAGCATACGCGGACTTGTTGCCCCCGTGCTCCCGTAGCGGGTTTCTCCTTCGGCTGGCTTCGGCTGCTGGGCAGGGGTAGGAGGAGAAGCCCTCCCAAAGGTAAGGGCAAGGAGCAGTCCTCTTCGACTGGCTCCCGACTGCCCCGACCTCCCGTTAACCCAACAGGCTGTCGCCGTGGGTCCGTCCCACTCAGTTCGTCTGCAAGGGACCACTCACGCTCTTTTACCACACGTCCCAGTGGGGGGGGACCGCCTGTCTCTATTCCTGCTGGAGTGGGAGAAGGCTACCAGCAACACTTGGGTGCTATCCACTGTCAGTGTCGGCCATCTACCACTGTGGAAGCGAGGCCCGCCAGAATTCACCGGCATACGTCGCACTCCGGAGTCGTCGTGTCAGGTGAGGGCGGGTATACTGCGCGACGAAGTTAGGCTTTGCTGGACAAGTCCACCATGGGGCGCATACCACCGGGCGAGGAACAGGCGGGATTTTATTCCACGTACTTCCTCGTTCCGAAGAAGGACGATGGGTTCTCAACCTCAAGGGGTTGAATCGCATCCTTCAAGATGGAGACACTTCACTCGGTGATCTGCTCTGTTCAGCCCGGCGATTGGCTTACGTCGGTCGATCTAAAGGATGCGTTTCTACATGTGCCAATTCATCCATTGTTCATGCAGTACCTCCGGTTCTCTTACAACGGGATGGGTTACCAGTTCGCGGTGCTCCCCTTCGGCATATCCACTGCCCCCAGGGTGTTCACCAAGCTCATGTTAGTGCCAGCTACCCTCGCAAGGTCGCAAGGAAGGCGTTGTTACCCTTACCTCGACGACTGGTTGCTCAGCGCTCTAACTCAGCCAGCGAGCCTAGATTCTACCCACACAGTGATAGACATTCTAGTTCGACTGGATCGTAAACCTCAAGAAATCCGACCTGGTACCCACCCAGGACTTGGTTTTTCTTGGGGCACAATTCCAAACTCACAAGGATCTTTTTTTTTTTTTTTTTTTATTTAATATTTTTATTTCCCTACTCACAAGGATCTTGTCTCCTTGTCACCCGATCGGGTCACCAGAGTACAGGAGATGGTGTCTTCGTTCCTCTCCCAGCCCCAGGCCCCAGCGCGGACTTGGCTCCGTCTTCTACTCGGCCATATGGCGGCGACTATCTCTGTAGTGTGGTGGACGCGGTTGAGGATGCGCCCTATACAGCAAGCTTTGGCGAAGTCTGTGGGCTCATTCGGAGGATCTGGAGAAGAGTCTCACAGTCCCCGGGTGGTTGTCTCCTCACCTTCAGTGGTGGACCAATGTCGCGAATCTCTCCAAGGGGATCCCTTTGGAAATACTCACGGGCTGGGGTTGTTCTGGGCAGTCTGTCGGTGTCCGGACTCTGGTCCGAAGCCGAAGCCCGCCTTCACATCAACGTCTTGGAACTGAGAGCTGTGTGGTTGGTTTTCGAGCTTCCGGTGGCATGTTCAGGGCAAGGTGGTTCGTCTTCAGTTGGACAACCGTACGGCCATGACGTACATCCTGAAGCAAGGCGGTACAGTGTCCCTAGCGCTCCTTCGGGAGATGTGGGAATTTCTCCTCTGGTGTGACCAATGCGCGACTGTCAGGTGCTTCCTGTTTGCCTCCCGTGGCTGGAGAACGTGCGAGCAGACGCGCTCTCTCGTCTGATCCTGGCCCCGCACGAGTGGATGCTCGACCGACAGATATTCAGAGTTATCTCCTAGTTGTACGGGATCGTTCCAGGTGGATCTGTTTGCGTCCGGCGGGACGAATCAGATGCTCGTGTTCTGGTCTCAAATACCGGACCAGAGGCTTCCGCGCCTTCCTGCTGGATTGGACTGGGCAAAGTGCTCTGGGCTTTCCCGCAGCTACCACTCCTTCCCCAGGTCCTCTCCCAGCTGTCCACCCAGCCAGCTCGGCTACTTGTGCTACTGGCACCGCTATGGCTGTCACAGAGCTGGTTTCTGGTAATTCTCAGGTTTCTGGCTCAGCCTCCTGTACTATTACCTTTGTGACCGGACATTCTCACTGAGAACAGCGCGCCATACCCCAATCCTAGGATTCAGTGGGTGGCTTGGCCTCTGTCAGGTCTAGCCTTGAAGCACGCGGAATTCCTGCAGCAGTTGCAGACACAATTCTGGCTTCGAGGCGGGATTTGACAAACCTTCAGTATGAGGATAGGTGGTCCCGCTATGCGTGCTGGTGTTCAGATAAGGGGATGGCAGATGCCATTTCTGCAGATTTAGTCCGAGTATTGGAGTTTTTGCAAGCTTGTTTGGAAGAAGGCTTGGCGGCTTCGACCATTCGTGGCTACTCCACCGCTATTTCCACTTTTCACACCCCTGTCGATGGTCGTCTTCTGGGGCAGCACCCTCTCATGCAGTGCTTTGGAGCTGGCGTGGATCGGGTTCGACCTGCTGTCAGGCGAACCAGCCCACCTTGGGATTTGTCAATTGTGATAGATAGTAGATTGGCTGTCCGGTCCTACGTTCTCACGTCTATAGGCTATTTCCATTCAGTTGTTAACATGGAAGGCTGTATTTCTGGTGGCGGTAACATCTGGGCGTAGGGTCGGCAACTTACATGCTATGTCGGCAGACCCATCCAGATCGTGTCAGTATGTACTCCAAGGACGATCTCTCTGAAAAAGAATTAACTAAACCTGCAGAGGTTTCCAATTCTTTGAAGAGAGTCGTCCTTTGGGTAATGCCGCCCACCTCCCCACAATTCTGTTCACTGATTTATTCAGCAGAAGGAATGATGATACAGGCCTAGGTACTTACCTGGTTGGCGGCGCATGCATAGCAGGGAGGTAACTCCACGTGGTGGGGGCCGTATAATAGATAAAAAAGATTATATTTATTGTACAATATTTTTATTAAAACATTGATACAACTGTCACAGGACATTTTCAGCCGCAGAAAAAGCATATATGTACCCCAAGGACGACTCTCTTCAAAGAATTGGAAACCTCTGCAGGTTTAGTTAAGTTTCTAGTCTCACCTAAAGCAAGTGAGTTTGTTCAAAATGCCTCTATTCACCCAGCAGAAAATGGGTACCCTTGGGATAAAGTCATGTGACTATAACCTACCTAACTGGCAGCTTGGGTTATCTGGGGTAATAATAATGCACAGATCATTTTGGCGTTTCGAGCATGCATTGTGCATGGAGAAATGTGCATGACAAATGGACTATTACTGTTGTTTCCATTACCAAGTAATCAATATAAACTGATTACAGCACCTAAAGGTTGGCCTGAAAGGTCATCCACCTGTGATTGATGGCGAGCTATACAACAATGTGAAGATAGAGGAATCAACCTGGGTCATCCAGGACAAGAAAGTGCTAATCATCAACATAGAGAAGGTTAGTCAGTAACCAATGTCCATGTCTTCATGGGGGAGTTTAATCAGGAGTGAAAATTGTCAACACAAGAAAATGTCAGGTCTCATGATTAGATGAACATGTTTGATAAGAAGCTGTGATACATTGTTTGTGATCTTTTTGACGAAAGCATCATGTGCACAAGGGTACTGAGGCAGACTGAAAGTTGTTCTTATGTGAGAGTTGCTTTGTTCAGATCAAGATTGAATATGACCATGAAGTATATTGTAAGTGCATCTAACAGAAAAAATGCTATACTTTGGGAATACCTTTAAAAATGATGCTTAGGCTCATTGTGAAACTGAGTCCAGTTTGTCATGGTTAATTGAGAAATACAGTTCGCTCTACCACCATGTACAGTGGACTCTGTCAATACCGGCCTCTGTTAACACCGGCACTCTGTCTACATCGGCACAAAGTTTCAGTCCCGGCAGAAATGCACGTTATTATCGTTTAGAAACTTCTGTAAACATCGGCATCTGTCTATTCAGGATATCGGCATTGTTTTTCAGTCCCAACGAACAAGTTGTTATGAAAACGAATCTGTAAAAACCGGCACATGAAAGACGGCGTAACCCTTTGATGCAATTAGGTCCAAATGATGTAACAACACAATTCGCTGTGACTCCCGAGATTATTCAGAAACGTGAAGTGTTAATCAGTATCTTGTTAATCAGTGAGTGGTACGTAACACTTACCCTGAGTAATTAATACATGTTGTGGGCAGTTTGACTGTATAAACAAGCAAGTGTTTACATTTTGTTGATTCAGCGGGTATTGACTCCGAGATTATTCATAAACGGGAAGTGTCAATCAGTTTCTTGTTAATTAGTGAGTGGCACGTGTCACTTACATAGAGGCTTAATCGCTTGATGGCGGTATCGCTCTAAAGCTCTGAACATCAACAATATCACTGTACTCTTGCCGAGAGTATTTTCACATTTGTAAGAAGCGATTTTATTGGATAAAGATTGGTTTCTAACGGCGCTTTTCACTACACTCTGCTTATAAGGGTCGGTGATTGGTCAAAATCAGACACGTGACCTAAGCAGCCAATCATATTCTGGAAATGGATACCGGTTTTGGGTAAAATAATGCTATTCTGAACATATTAAGAAAGATATCGCTACCTATACGTGAAATTATGGAACGTATTGGACATATCGTGCTAGGTTATGGCCTATGACAAAATGCTTCATGCATATATTTTCACATTAAGCATCGTGTCCGGTGCGCCAAGACGGAGGCGGTGAAAGCCGAGATGTAACTTGTCAGTGACTTGACTTACATTGCATGATCGCACAAAAGTATGGAAATAGTAATTTTATATGTACGCTTGACAACTTTATGAATGTTATTGTTGATTTCAATTTATTTATTGTTTTCCTCGATGTTTAAAACATCGTTACTTTTGCTCTTTGCTCTATTGTAGACCAGCTGCGAAGCATAAACAAGAATCGTTGTTTTCAATAACACTGCGAAAAATAGTTTATAATTTTAATTCTGCCGATAATATATGATCAGTTGAAATTTAATAAGAGATTTTAGACATTTTTATTTGATTTAAACAACATGAATGTGCATTCAGACACTGCCTTGTTTCTTATTCAAACATCTTGTTAATGCTAAAGTGACAGTACGACAGCGAACTTCCGTGTGCGCAGGCGTCATAAGCGAACCTAGCTAAACCGACACTCTGTCAAAACCGGCATTTTTATTTGGTCCCGACTGATGCCGGTATTGACAGAGTACACTGTATAGTGTAATAAAACACACTTTCGCCCTGAACTATTATAGTTAAAGTACGAGGACGCTTGCCTCCGAGTGCTTTAACGTTATAATAGTTTAGGGCGAAAGTGTTCTTTATTACACTATACATGGTGGTAGAGCTAACTGTATTTCTTTTCTAAGATGCCAAATTTAATACTTTCCAAGCATAATTACGATTAATTTAGGCAGAAACTGAGAAAGCATACGACCTTGTCAGTGAATCCTCGCACAGGGCTAACTTGTGCGCTGTTCTATTGATGTGTCTGCCCAACGTAAGTTTAGATCAGTACCTCCAGATGAAGTTGTCAAGCGACATTCCACGATTGCATTGTGGGAATGTAAACATTGCGAACGTTACCATGTCGCTGAACACTTGTGAGTCGAATTGACACATTTTAACTCTCATAAAACATAAACGTAATGTTTCCACCAGTGATGTTAGCTGCGTGAAGCAACTGCAAACCAAGAAACAGGATGCAACGGAGTAGTTTACTGTAGCAGGCCGTACAAGGCGATGACAACTGACCTGCATCGTGACGTCGCTTACATTGTGACGTAATGTAAAATGGTTCGATTACGAGGGGGCACACTAGAATGGTGCAGTGAAGGGATAACGTCATTCAATTGTTACGTCATAAAAAAACTCTACCTTTATTGTCTGATAATGTAGTTTTGTTTCGATTGTTCTAACCGCTAGGCATCTTAGAAAATGGCTTAATGATCTACTGTGTTTCAAGTACATGTGCTCGCCAGTACTTTGTTCAAAATATCTTGACATTGTTTGGATTTTGTGAAGTAACTTTGCTAGTATTTTCTAATCATTCTAAAATTGTTCTGCACAAGTAAGGGGTAAATTCTGCCATTTTTGATATTTTGATGTAGTACCTTGATACTGAATGTTCTCATTTAATAGAGCTGTGACGATACATCGTAGTATCAATAAACGTGATACTTTATCTGACAATAAATATATCGATACTTTTTTTCGTATCGTGATATGTATCGTTGACCTTAAATTTTTTTATTTTTCACTAGAAATTGATGGTTGTCAACATTTACACTGTTACATCAGGGGTGGAAATAACTTTTAAATTGCTAGTGTACTCCGGTACAGTGGCACATGTAAAATCACTTGCCCTGATAATTTTTCCTCTATACTGGACGTTTTCTTGTTGATTTTTTAAATAAACAACATAATTAACGTTGGAAGGTTAACTGGACACCGGTACAGTGTGATATACAAATTTGCTTGCCCAACAGAAAAAAACACTGGACTCGGGCGTCGGGCAATGGGTTATTTCCACCCCAGTTACATGCTATCAAACAATACTTTTTTCAAGAATATAAGATTGCATATTGTGATATGCATCAAATCGAATCGTATCGTTCCAAGATATCGCAATACCTATCGTCTCGTGAAATTTCTGTATCGTACACCTCTATCACTTTGTGATCTGTAGTTACATGTGTCTCAGAGAAATGTTTGTCATTGGTCTGCAGATTAACAAGATGGAATGGTGGAGTCGCATTGTCACAACAGACCCAGAAATAAACACAAAGAAAGTACAACCAGAGAATTCAAAGGTGGGAGTTCGTTTGGTTTATATAAAACCTCTTCACTACTGGTTGGTTAAACAGACTGAACTGATCTGTGAAGACACAGGATTGGCTTTAAGCAGCCCATACTTGTCATAAGAGGTGAATGATGGGATTGGGTGGTCTGGTTTGGGACTTGGTTGACGCATGCCAGTGTAACCCTACTGTGTTGATCGATGGTCATGATATTCATCATTAGATTGATATATCAGGACTGATTTATTCATAGAGTGCCATTTATAGCTGGGATATTGCTGAGGGTGGCATTAAGCTACACACAAACATTCCACAGGAGATACTGCTTTATCTTGGACTACCATCACAGTTCTTTGCAGTTACCATGATGTTGCAGTCAAACATTTTTGCTAATGTCTCTGCCACAGATTCTTACCTTTGTGTCCTTTGCTCATTTCGATTATCAAATGTATCAAATCCTGTAGCTGAATGTTTAACCACTTAGGTTGATACACTGTATTATCAAAAGACACTCAGTTAGTAGTACTGGTGTTCTGGTGACCTGTTCATAATCAAGTCTTCACCTGGCAGATCAGTGACTGAAACCACCAGTAATATTTCAGAGAAGCACTCCATCATGACCAGTGTGCGAAATAGTTTCCAAATTTTGCTAGCCAGACGGGCCAGCTATGCCTGAAAGTTACCAGCCCACAAAATAATTCACTTGTCCGAAATTTGAATGTAGACACGAATTTCATCATTAAGCTGCTAATATGATAAACATTTTTATCAGGCCAAAACCTTGCATGATTTAAAAGTGTGTTATAACTTCACAAGTATGATATATTTACAAAATGACCCCATGAAAATTCACTAGCCAGTCGGACCAGTGACTGTGGCCCAAGTTTATCGGCCCAACAGGATTTTTTCACACTTAATTCCACACCACCTGGAGATCTGTTCATTTAGAAATAACCATTTGTGAGAACTGATCGCCCACCACATTCGTGCATGAGTGTTGAGACATGTAACTGTGAATGTTGCAGCTGTCTGACCTGGATGGAGAGACGCGGGCGATGGTGGAGAAGATGATGTTTGATCAGCGACAGAAGGAGATGGGGCTGCCCACATCAGATGAGCAGAAGAAACAGGATATCCTCAATAAGTAAGTCTTGGGACAGCAGATCAGTCACCATATCAATGTTTTAGTAGCTTATTTGTAGTAGTTCCTTTACAATATGTGTGAGTCTGTGTCTTCATTTGTTCTCTCATTTCTTACCATAATCATGGCTACTCGTGCTTGGTAATGAGAATTGTGCCCTTGTTTGGAGCTCAAAATCAACCAAAGTAGCTGCAATTTAGTGTATCTGTATTGCCACTGAAGTCAGATTTTCTTCAGATCTGATGAGTAACATTGCATGTTGGATAGTCTGCTGAACAGTTTTAGTGCAAGTTGCCAGGAGTGCAGATTGGTTCAAGTCTCTCTTTGTGTTCATGATCATCCTAACGTACATTAATTATATGTATTTTTGCCTCTTTATAGGTTCATGACACAACATCCGGAAATGGACTTCAGCAAGTGCAAATTTTCATGATGAACTTGCAACACGGGTGATGCCTGAATCATCTCTGAATGTCATCAACAACTTCTTGTTACATGTACATACAGATCAACACCTCATTTCCATTTTACACCATATTTTGTAAGAAGCTGTGTTTGTTTGTGTTGTTATTATGGAAACCCTGGGTGTAGCATCTGTATCTGTACAAGTTGTCTCTGTGGCCACCCCTCTCGTACCATTCCTTTTATGCATTTTTCTTCATTTTTTCAAATTCGATTGTAGGTTTGTTTGTAATGAGATGAGATATAGGAAGCGTGATTATGGAGATTTTATGCAGTCTGACCTAGTGGTTTTCATATTCGGGAGATATTAATTGACTTGACACTGAAAGTCACACAAAATAATTATCTTTATGATTGGTTATTATTGACAATTAACCAATTCAGTAAACAATGTGCATTATGTAAACCAACTGATGAGCATTATCAGACCAACCACTGCTGAAAACCACAATCAGACAAATTGATTTTGATTTGCACAACAGCTCAATCAGTAGTCATTTTAATGTTTACAGCTACCATAATTCAGCTTAACAGTTAAAAATAATACCAAGTACATGTTACGTTTTGTTACATTGCAATATAAATATATATGCTAAAATACTGTGCTCCTTAGTTTCATTCAATTTCAGGACAAATAGAACTGAAACATTAATTTGAAGTTTCAGTTTGACCAACCAAAGCTTTTAAGTTTGTAAAATTGACAATTGAAGGATATTTTGAGTGGGATTTAAATTGATTGATGATGTTTCCTGAGCTGATGTAACTTAGTGACATGTCTATATTTTAAGGATAAAGAAGAATGTAAATGTCAGGCAAAAGAATATCCTTTCTTGACCAACCTCACGATTCTATTTAGTATAAAGGACAAACAATCTGTGAAAATTACATAAATGGACAGCTTAATATATGCAGGATTTTACACGACGCACAAGTGTGCATCCAATATGCACATGTGTGGAGAATGGACTGCGTCCAAAGAGATGCTAAAAAATACCTACTGTGCATCCGGACTAGTTATCTGTGTCAGTAATTTCATCTATAAGTCTTGACCATAAGTCTTGACCACTGTCCACATGATCACTACTTCATTCCAGGCTCTGGAGTAATTATCTAAACGTACACCACACTACACTGTATCAATACTTTACAGTAGTGTTGGGAATTGGTTGAAATCTCATCATTGATGATTGCTTCATTACCAACGAACAATCATCGATAAAATTGGTTAGCATCAACTTTCAGATTTTCCTATCCAGGTTGTTATTGCAGATATGTATAACATGATGCAACTTGCTACTTTAAAGTGATGTTGATATATCATGAACATAAACCTTCTGGGGTCTTCAAGAAATATTCAGTCATGACTTTTCAGTTAGTGAAGTGAGTTTTCTAAGACTTGAACAAGTTTTCAGTCCCTGACAACTTTGAAGTTATGTTCCATCATCAAGTGTTTCAAAGACTAAAACAGCAGTTCCAAAATCGTTTGTGTTCGATTATGAGAAAATGTGATCGATTGCTTGGTTGTTTGGTCACTTCGACCAATCTTCGATTATTTCAATTAATCGGAACACCACTACTTTATAGGACCCTCATATCACCAGCAAGGACACGGAACATTTATTGATGTTGTCCTGTGGACCCCCACTTCTGTAAGTCAAGGTAAAACCCTGTATATTGATGACACCAGGTGTTTGAGAAAAGGATGAGCATGTCCTGCTCTGCCAGTAGCAACAGCTTCTCACATAAAGTATTTACAGCCCGACAGCAGGGTATGAAACTCCCAAACATTTCAGCCAGACCACAGGGTTGGTTAGATGTAAAACTTGCCAGCCCTGACCAAAACCTACCTGCCCACGAAAAATACTAATTTACTTGGTATAATTAAATTAAAACTTGTAAAATATTGAAAACCTAATACTAACTTCATATACATGTCTTAATTTTAACCTGACCGTCGGGCAGGTGAATTTGAGAATCTGGCAGTCCGTGTTGGAAATAACCCGTCCCGGGCGGTCGGGCAGACAGGTATTTTGAATGCTGCTAACAGTGGTCATCAGTCGTCATGAAACAACAGCCTTTCAACAAACCGGACAATAATGTCATCAGTGTTCCTGTGACAGCAGACTGCCGCCATATAGCTGGAATATTGCTGAGTGCGGCGTAAAACTAAACTCACTCACTCACTCCAGTGACAGCAGCCTTTCAACAAACCAGACAATAGTGTCATCAGTGTTCCTGTGACAGCAGACCGCCGCCATATAGCTGGAATATTGCTGAGTGTGGCGTAAAACTAAACTCACTCACTCACTCCAGTGACAGCAGCCTTTCAACAAACCAGACAATAATGTCAGCCATCAATGAAAGACAATGTTACTGTTATTGTGCTTGTGCTTGTCACCTTCACCAAACAAATACCAGGATTTACCTTCAGTGTACTTACTATCACAAGAGTATGATTTACCTGTTAGTATTGTGAGCTAATGCTCTGTCCTGTATGAAGCATATGTGACTGGAAGTCATTCAGCAACTAATTTGTTTGATGTTCATGTACAACATGTTGTTTAGTTACTGTATATATTAATGCACAAAGGTGTTCTCCATGACTCCGAACTGTTAAATATTCAGTGAGAGATGGAGAAAAACCTTCATTGATGAAGCTGCTGAAAATGTCATACAAGTTTCTTTGTCGTTTTATCAATAATAAATGATTATCAGTCAGTCTCGGTGTTGTCTGTTTTGTTAAATATACACTTCAAAGTTGAGAAAACCCGCCTACACTGGTCACCGACATGAATGTAGAGCCACAAGGCATTGTAGTGCATCCATAGAATTTCTTGAATTACTGTAACATCAGATCATGAAGGTCATACTGAAGCTCACTATTACACTTAACCTGATCCTGATGACTACTTATGGCATTACAAGTATACATTTAAAGGGCTGACCCTAGTTGTCATGGTTACAATACAGTACATGGATGTCCAGAAGCAGTAAAATTTCAATATTTGCAACAACTGTTGTACAACTTGTACATATCATATACTTACTGCATACTCAATATCTGACAGGTATGATATTATTCAGCCTAACATATGCAGACACAAAAGGTGGTTGAAAAAAGGTTATCCTGTTCCTGGATATCACAGGAATCAGAGAAAGGATAACAGTGTGTTGACATCAAGATTAGTAGGACCTGAACATCCACGATAAAATATATCGACTGGATTTGGAACGCTTTTGTAACTCATTGAGTTTCCCATCCCTGTCCAGCAGATGTGCTGTGATTTAACTCAATGCTGTGTTCAGCCATAGTACTAAGTGAAAGTAGTATTAAGCCCAACCCACCCAGAAGCTACAAATACCAGCAGACTAACCGTCAGTCTTGTTGGTGTGCGGAATATGCATCATGGCTGAAAGCAGACATTGCATCTCCAAAACATTATCAGTCAGCCTTGTGTTTTGTGTAGATGTTTCCGTTCAAAGTGATCATGGCAATGTTGGTACATTTAATTACAAAAATAAGTGAAGTCAGTAAAATATGTTTATTACCCAACAATGACAAAAACCTGTAAAAATATTGTGTCATTGAGTTCCTTTCTCTAGTGTGTCTTAAGCATGTAAAGTAATGTGTCCTAAGTATGAATTACCATCACAAAAATTGGTATTTAAATACTGAACTATTTCACAATGGGAAGAGATTAAACACTTTCAGCCACACCTCAGTTGTTGATACCTCCAGCAACCCAACTATAATTGTACTACAATACTATGACTATAGATAGTAAAAATGCAGCCAAGATGAATGAGAAATTGCCACGACATTACATATTTGGACAGATAGAACAGGTAATATGAAACATTGGGACAACAGAAATGGTCTTCACACACTTTACTCATGTGAGGAATTGAACTGGGTCCTTTGTTGTGACAAGCAATGCGTCAGCCACTGTGCTACAACATGGCCCTGTATTGACATGAACAACGAAGAGTGATGTCTCTTAGAAAGTTAAAACAATAACGATGTCAGGTCTCCTGGTCTACAAGTGTCTTAATCATCATGAACAGGCCTTTACTAGCTGTTATACAGGCCTTTACTAGCTGTTATACATGCAAGTTATGACCACTGATTCTCATTCCTGTGATTCCTAATTATATCTATACTTCCCATCAAAAGTTTAGACTCACTAGTATTAATATAGCCACTTACTTCAGGCAACTGTTCTAAACTAAATTTTGGAAAATATTGACTACTGTTTAAAGGTACTGTTTACAGATGAACTGATGTATTGTAAAACATATTCCTAACATTGAAAAGATTATTATTATGAGTTCAATAGATGCTAAAATTCAGTGAAAATTGGCGAATTCTTAACAAAACTTTACATCAAAACGAAGCTGTTCACATGAATGGTATTTGCTCATGCTTTTCAGCAATTTGATGCATGATCCTCGTGCAATACATCTGCATAAGGTTTGCAGTTGATTCCCCCAAGTTAGTGGAGAAATCAATCTTCGATGTAACCATATATATATACATAACATATAGTAAGTGTTTTAAGTGAGTCTAAACTTTTGATGGGAAGTATATATGTCTATATTTCTTAACTTCTTACGTCCTCCATTTAGATACCATGCAGCATGTAGGGGGTAGCCTCGTGTTTAGACTGTTCGTCCGAAAACCCAGGCTGATTCCCCACATGGGTACAATGTGTGAAGCCCATTTTCTGGTGTCCCCTGCTGTGATATTGCTAAAAGCAGTGTTAAACTTACTCACCCATACTACGTACAAGGCACAAGTAAGTATTTATCTCACCCACAGTGGTAGTTAGCTGTGTGTAATAAAAGTTTTTTTCTGAACTGGTCACAACATGATATGATACCGCAGTGAGGCAGAGAAGCTTTATACAGTCTCCCTGCTTTAAGTTATATATTATGGCTCTTGTTCTGTCAGACAGGAAAACTTTGAAGATGCTCAAAGCCCCCATCTGAGTCTCAGCGATTCCATGGTTGTCTCGACATTGGAGCTCTCATCCTTCGCATGGAGACCAAACTTAAGCTCGGGACCATCCTTGCCCTCCATATAGCGGCTGTCTGTTGGCTCGTCAGATGGCTGCCATCTACAGCAGATAAAGTGAATATGCAATGCCTTTTACTGAGAATGACTAATCCAGTCACAACATACATTACATCACAATAAATTAGTTGAAAGAGTCATGTATGTACAAAAAATGCAATGTCTATATGATACATTGCTCAGTTTGGGAAAAGTGAGTTAGTGAGTTTACGCTGCTGAATTCAGCAATATTCCAGTTACATGTATATGGCTGCGGTCTGTAAATAATCGAATCTGGACCAGACAGTCCGGTGATCAACAGCATGAGCAACGATCTATGCATTTGGGATCCGATGACGTGTCAACCAAGTCAGGAGCCTGATGACCCGATCCCGTTAGTCGTCTCTTACGACAAGCATGGGTTACTGAAGATCACTCTAACTCGGATCTTCACAGGTCTTTGGGAAAAGACTGTAAAGAGAATGAGTCAAGTCTGATTCACCACCCTCTAATAAGTAAAGGATCTTATATGTAAGTAATATTTGATCGATGTCATGGAAACCAGGGCAAAAAAGCTAGTGGATAACAGAATGAGCAATAGTCAATCACATTATGATGGGTATGATGACACAAGTCATTAAGTCACACATCATACCAACCAACGTATGCTTGTCAAGCCTTGGGGCCAGTAGACCAACGTGCCCCAGTCTCGACACTTTAAAGCAAGACTCACATAGGTCAGCATGTTGTAATGACGTCCTTACACTGAATAACATGTTCGGTGGTATGAATATTGTCTGATTTGCTACCTCTCACATGTATCGATCTGCCGATATTAGTGTCAATCTCATAATATATCCCAGTATTTTGTTTCCATGGTATCAATATGTCTGAAGCAGACTTGGCAAGTTATCTGCTGCGTGATACAATGTGAAGAAGACGGCAATGCCAAAGCGAAGAACAAGAAAAGTTGTTGGACGAAAGATTGGATTCTCCGCCAAGACATTCATGCAGCATACAACCCCGTTAAAAATCGAGGCGTGGTTTCTTTCATTCAGGCAAAGCCATGTATCACGCTTGTATGTGAACATTTACCACATGACACCAAAACTTAATTTGATCTAACTTGCCGTGTAACTGGAACAGTTTCTCCACTCTCACAACACAATCAGTGCTGGTTTGATTTGTTGAATTTGATAAATCACTCAGACGATATGACATAACGATTGGACAGGCCAACCCGTGAGAGTCCACCTTAAGACTGAAGCTGTTTACCACTGTAGACCAGTCCCATCAGTAGGACCTGTCACTGTGGATACCCTTCATTCAAATCAAGAGATGCTTTACACATTAATTAAAGGATGTTTAGGACGTACCGTGTATCACAGCTGATGCGGGCAAGGTTAGTCAGGTTGCAGGTAGACATGTGCGCTGTCCTGTAAATTATAACAACATAATGACTAACAGAGATATTATCATAATTCATAATCATATAGACAACAAAATCAATTAAAGATATTGGTAGATTGTGTTTCTAAAGTGTGAAGCGTTTATACATACAATTTTATTTGATTAAGCCAAGTAAAACAAAAATATCTACTTTGTTATGACAGATTATATACAGGGTAGTGGCCACTGGTTGTGACAAAGTATAAGCTGGTTGTCACCTGAAGGATAGGTTATTTAAGGACATGTGAGCCTACATTTCATTCTGTGAACAGTATTTAATTCTTTTAAATACATGTACTTTTCTTGTCTATAAAATTTGAAAGAGATTAAATCAACTGGTTCACCTCATTCCGAAGATCATGACATCACCCGCCTTGAAATCTGTGGTTTTCCACTGGCCTCCAAACTTGTCTGTTATTTCAAAAGGGTCTGTTGTAAACCAACCGGTGCCTGCATTGTAACATGTGAATATATGAGAAAGTAATTGCAATATGTGAATACACTATAAAAGTGTTGCAGTATGTGAATACACTATAAAGGTGTTGCAGTATGTGAATACACTATAAAGGTGTTGCAGTATGTGAATACACTATAAAGGTGTTGCAGTATGTGAATACACTATAAAGGTGTTGCAGTATGTGAATACACTATAAAAGTGTTGCAGTATGTGAATACACTATAAAGGTGTTGCAATATGTGAATACACTATAAAGGTGTTGCAGTATGTGAATACACTATAAAAGTGTTGCAGTATGTGAATACACTATATAAGTGTTGCAGTATGTGAATACACTATAAAGGTGTTGCAGTATGTGAATACACTATAAAGGTGTTGCAGTATGTGAATACACTATAAAGGTGTTGCAGTATGTGAATTCGGTACAAAGGTGTTGCAGTAAGTGCATACAGTATAAAGGTGTTGCAGTATGTGAATACACTTTGAAGGTGTTGCAGTATGTGCATACAGTATAAAGGTGTTGCAGTATGTGAATACACTATAAAGGTGTTGCAGTAAGTGCATACACTATAAAGGTGATGCAGTATGTGAATACACTTTGAAGGTGTTGCAGTATGTGAATACACTATAAAGGTGTTGCAGTATGTGAATACAGTATAAAAGTGTTGCAGTATGTGAATGCACTATAAAGGTGTTGCAGTATGTGAATACACTATAAATCTGTGGCAGTATGTGAATACACTATAAAGGTGTTGCAGTATGTGAATACAGTATAAAGGTGTTGCAGTATGTGAATGCCCTTTGAAGGTGTTGCAGTATGTGAATACACTATAAAGGTGTTGCAGTATGTGAATACACTATAAAGGTGTTGCAGTATGTGAATACACTATAAAGGTGTTGCAGTAGGTGAATACACTATAAAGGTGTTGCAGTATGTGAATACAGTATAAAGATGTTGCAGTATGTGAATACACTATAAAGGTGTTGCAGCATGTGAATACACTATAAAGGGGTTGCAGTACGTGAATACACTATAAAGGTGTTGCAGTTTGTGAATACACTATAAAGGCACTGCAATATAGAAATACACTATAAAGGCACTGCAATATAGAAATACACTGTAAAGACATTGCAATGTGTGAATACAGGATGTTCAATAGTTATATTGTAGAAATGTTCCAGATAATGCTTAGTATTGGTACTACATTGTATTGTGATAATAATTTGTGGACCCATGAATGTCCGGGTTAGAATTGGTCTTCAGTAACCCATACTTGTCGAAGATGTGAACAATGGGATCGGGTGGTTAGGTTCACTGACTTGATTGACATGTCATTGTATCCCAATTGCGAAGACCGAAAGACATGCTGTTGATCACTGGATTATCTGGTCCATACTTGATTATTTTCACTCTGCCACCATCTAACTGGAATATTGCTGAGTGTGGCATCAAACTAACCTCATTCACTTACTTTTTCAATCAATCAGTCAATCAATCAATCAACACTGATACAACAACAGTGTCAGAGCTACCTTTGAGCCTTGCTTCCTCTGCATCAAGATTACCATATGTGTTTTGGAAGTGATCAAATCTGAAATATTCAATAACAATTATCATTTATCAAAACAGATAGGTTTCATAATCATATCCAGCATGATCAAAACATGTTAAATAATATTCTGATAAGTTGAAACAATAAATTCACACACAGAGCAGCAGTTATTCATGATACCATATTGGGCAACTAAAGCAGTGATCATTTGGTGAAGGTGGTGCCAGGTTCTAAGAATGTACATATTTCATGTAATATTTTGCCATAGGACACTCAAACTTTACATTTACAATGCATTCTATTCATCCCTGTTAGTTAAGATATGCCAATAAAATAAATGAAATCATTTATTATTCAAGCACAATCACACAATCATAAACATACCTAAACAAATTTAAGAGCCTTGTTTAAATTTATACATTGTAATACATTTACAATGGTACATTTGCAGACACTGTGTAGAGCTGCTGAAAGCACCATTAATCTTATTATTAATGTTTGTGTTTTAATGCACTCAGGCACTCCATGCCTGCAGTAGTCTGTACCAGACAAACTAGTCATCAGTATTGTGAGCCACATCCAACTGGTGCTGGCAGACTGACTGACTGACTGACTGAGTTTGGTTTTACGCCGCTTTTAGCAATAATCCAGCAACATCACGGCGGGGGACACCAGAAATGGGCTTCACACATTGTACCCATGTGGGGAATCGAACCCGGGTCTTCGGCGTGACGAGCCAACGCTTTAACCACTAGGCTACCCCACCGCTCCGGTGCTGGCAGAAGATGGCTCACAGACAACCAAGTCACCAAGTCGGACCAACTGAACTTCATCTTCTCCTTTGACAGCCAGCAATAGCTGGGACTGACACCAACATCTGTCATGAATTAGCACAAAATACTTCAAGTGTTGATACCTGGCCTCAAATTTGCATGAAATTAATGCAATTAGCTCCACCTCTGAACTATGAAACCTAATCAGAAACTCATGGTTTTATCAAGACTTTTGTTGAAGCCATTGTGGCTGAGTTGGTTAGATAGCCGACTTTGTGTGCTGTTGATAAGGTGCCCTACTCTGAGGGTGTGGCTTCAGATCCTAGATGGGACCCCGAAGAGAACTAGAATCTGTAATGTATGGGTAAAGTGTAATCCCAAATATTGCCAGAAACGTCATAAAGCTGGGATTTAGAGAGAATACCTAAAATCACAAACTTAAACTCCAACTACTTGGTATGTGAGCTACCCTTCATCAAATCAAAAGTAGGAAATTAAAAATACAGCATAGGCCAGGCCAATTTTATTTCTTGTTTTACGGATTTTTGTCCTCAGAAAACCTAAAGGAAGGAGAGAAGAAAAATAAGTCAAAGTAGTATTCCTTCTAAATACTCAAAGTATGTTACTTTTGGCAATTTATGAAGTAAATATGGTTAAAAAAACAATCCAAAAACAAAATTGCTTACATTTTTGGCCAATAAATACATTAGGATTTTATTTTTTGAATGGGGAAAATTAATTATTATTTTTTTTCTTATTCTTGAAAAAAATATGACAGGCGGATCCGTAAAACAAGAAATATAATTGGTCTGGCCATATCTCAAAATGAAATCTGATCACCATCCGGATTTTACATGTTCTAAGCGATGCTACATATGAGTTAGCGTAATCCTCTGAATGTCAATGGCTGTGTTGTTTGTTCCCTAGGCCAGCTGTTGCTGTATTGGACATTTTCACCATATGAGTGAGAAGCATATTTCTTGTAGAGACTAGAGCAGTTCACAAGGTTATCAAAACAGAAGACCCTCTGTAATACACAGTGGGCGACTGTCATAACTGCTTGATGAACCTGTGTAAAACAAACTGATAACTGACATGGCAACCTAACTCACCTAAAGTGTATATAGTCAACTTGGGTATACATGCCATGTTTTCACCAGTGTTTAATGCGAGAAACACAAACATATTTGGCATTATTTCATGCTACAAACAGTGCAAGATAGAACAAACTTTATGGATAACAACTTCTTTATATTCGTGAGTGCGACGTTTCGATACAGATACTTGTACCGTTGTCAAGCATAATGGAACATAAAGAAGGGGGAAGTATATATATACTGGATGTAACAATGTAACAAAGAAAACAACATAATTAACATAATTGGCTAGGCAGAAAGCTGATGAAACCAGAGAGTAGACAAAGGACAGGCGTGGAAGCCAATGATGTACAAATAATAATGAGATGTTTATACAGCAGAGTTTATACAGTAGATTGGGCTTGGTGGATGAGTGCATCATAACCGGATGGAATGAAGTATCCTTGGTCTCGGTTGATGGTGGGCTTTTGGCATTTGATGTGGATGGCTTTGGTGAGCTTGCGTTTAGTGAAGTCTGTTTGTTTGTTAGAGAGAATGGTGATGTCAGACCACTCTATTTGATGATTGGGGCTTGCTTTGATGTGGTCGGAAATGGCAGATATGCTGTCGGAATTGGTAACAGAGGTCTGATGGTCTTTCACTCGGGTGTTGATGGGTCGGGACGTTTCACCCTATGTAGCTCTGCCCACAATCACAGTTTATTTTGTAGATGACACATTTTGGGTTGTTGTTCACTTTCACTTCTAAAATGCCACTCAAAGAAGTTAACAGTGCAAGAGATGTTCATCCGTTTTTCTATAACCTGGAATCATCAATGACTTTCAGCAATCCATTAGTATAATTTCCACAGCTATTTCACCTTTCCTGCTTTAGTGGAATATGTTTTGGCAGATAATCAAGTTGGATTGTTCTTTGGCATCCATTGTACATATAAAGTACATCCTGTCTTTCTCAACACAATCCAAACTACTCAAAGCACCAAAATCTGCTTTGCTCATTTGCCTCCCTTTACCCTGTCCAGATACCTGGTGAATAACCAACGCTCCAAATGACCTTTTGTCCCAGTTTGCTTCCAGGGCAATTGTATATCTATATACATGTAGGTATCACAAGGTTGTGATTATCTATGACTTGCATTACTTCAGTCTTTTATCCCACAACAAGCCATGACATGGCTTGTACAAATTGATGTTAAACCCAACTAGCTCACTCACTCCATCACTCACCCAGGTAGTCGATTTGATCCCTCACACATGGCCAGGACACCCATCTCTACACTGATATCTCCGACTGGCGTCCACATGGTGAGCAGAGACTTGGAGCCACGACTCATGTACACATTGTCCACATGGACCCCGGTGAAGGCATCGGTATGCACGGCACTGCAGAGACGGAATGTACATCAACAACGTGTTCATCCCAAACATCTCCATTTTGTTGGGAAAATACTATGCAGTTGAATGAATAGCACAATGCCTCGAAACAGATTTCCAACAAAATTGATCTCTTGAGTAGGAGAAATTTGTCTAAGCTACTAGTCAGGGTTGGCAACAGGAACATCGATTTTCAGCGGAAAACTTAATATTGTGTCATCGAATGGGGGTTTCTCAATGGATTTAGACGAACAGTTTGAAATAAAATCCGCGGAAAATTGCCATCCCTGCTAGTTAGAGATTGGAGCGCTAGTGGTGGTGTTACTTCAGAAATGAAGCTTTGGCTGTGAATGGGTCCAGGGTATATATTACAACAAAATGGATACACAAGATATTCCAAGATGAAGCATTAGGTCAAATCATCCCCAAAGTACACTTATTTGTACACTGCGTACAACACTGCTAGACACGGTGTATGAAATAAGCCAAAATCCAGCCAGACATCAGGGCTGGTAACTTCAAAATGTTGCCAGTCCAAAATGGAATTAACCAGACCAATTTACGCAGATGTATTGAACATCTAAATTCTTTACCACACCATCAGGCTGGCTAGCTGTAGATTTAGACCGTCCGTCAGAAATCTAGACCGTCTCGGTCGGTCGGGAGTAAAGTAATACCATTCACTATCATATAATACTGAGCTATAATTGCTTCATTTCTATTTGTGATAATGTTCTACTGACAACTGCTTTGGACTCGTAGCCATATTTTGGCCACTGAACAAGTTTAGATAAATCCTTCTACAAGTATATTGTTATGAATGTAAGATATACAGCTAGGAGTTACTGTTGTGCCTCTTCCAGCTGCTGTAAGAAGCAATGGCAAGTAATAATTCCTGGGTCAATAAGTGCCTACCGTAACCACTTGTAGTCCAGTGTTGCAACATCTTTCCCAAAGAACTTCTTGAAGAAACTGAAAGCTGTTAATAAATAGGATTGACATTGAGGTAATCAGTAGAATTAAAGTCCAACATGTCAGAGTTATGGGAGAGTGAGATGTTATCAATACTTTGTACCTACTGCTACTTGTACAACTACTCATCCACTTCTAAAGAGTAAACACCCTCATACAATTTATCCTTGAAGCGCTCTTGTTTTTTAACTAATAAGTCAATCAGTGTAAACTCCAGTTTTCATTCTCAGCTCCCTAGGAAGTATCCAACCCTCCTTTTGTGCTGGAATGATACAAGTTATGTGTATACGGCTCGACTTTGGTGATTCTGGGGTGCCAAGTTTGAAGCACCAGCCCCTCACCAATATCGTCATGAAACCTAATTGTGCAAATAGGTGTGTCCTGGACCTGAAAATCTCCTGCTACACCTTGATAAACCTAATGTATAATCACTAGATGCAGAGGCCTAAAGGGAAATGTGTTAACAAGGGGCGGGTAAATACATTTAGAGGGCTTGTCGTAAAATTGGTTTCTGCAATGTATTTTGCATCAAATTTGGAATTGCCATTTGTTTATATATAAATGTACCTTTTAAAATATAATTGTGATGTATATCATGACATTTTGATGCATATTTGCAAACCCCAGGACATTTGGAAAAATGGTTACAGAGAGAAGAGGTCTGGAAAAATCTCTATGGCACCTTGACATATATATATATACTAGTTAAGTAATCTTGAGAGTGATGTTAAATCCCAATTTATTTCACTTTATTCTTGTGTGATACTTACGTCTCGAACCTTCAATGACGGCTTTGACAGGATCTTGATGGGTTATACCGGGTACTCCCTTGAGGTAAGAAAATCATGTATGACAAACAGTTCATAAAGTCGGTAAATCAGAACAATTAATGGACATCTAAAATCAGTATCCAGTAGTCTTGTTTTACTGTGCAGGGGCCATACTTGACTGCAAAACTGATAGCCATTCAAACAACATGGTGGGTAAAAGTGACATAAGAATAGGTCCCCTGCACCCTATTGCTACATTCAAGGGGAAACTATAAAAATTTCTGAGTCACATGCCTGGATTCAAACCATGGACCTTAGGATCTGAAGTCAGACACCTTGTCCACTTGACCAAAGAGGTTAGCCCATCAGCAAGCTGCATTGCAAGGATGTCATCTATTGGATGACTCCATGCCCTACTACATATTTCCCAATCAACCAAAGGCATGTCCTGGGCCGCATAGCAGGGCACTTAGACTTAATTTGCTCAAATTTAATATTAACATGCTCATCTAAATTGGGTGCCAATGCAGCGGCAATAAAATGTCAGATCTGAAGTCAGAAAGCCTTGTCCACTTGACCAAAGAGGTTAGTTAACCTTGACAAAATAAGAATGTCGTATGTAGGATGACCCCACATCCCGCTAAATGTAGGACGCCACACCTTACATAGGATCGGCAGACAGGGCAGATATGACTTACCTCCATGGTGGGTACACACCCAACACCACAGCCTTGCTGGAGGACACCTTTCTCCAATGGCTCCGACGGGTGGAGGATCCCCTCCCCCTGGTCCTTCAAGTACTGTAGGACTGCCAGTCGTGCTGCCAGAACCTCCCCCCGATCGTGGAGACCTCGGATGAACAGATATCTAGAAAACACAGTCATCACAACGTACAATCAATCCATTATTTTAGATTACAAGTAACAGATGGCTTGATCAATGGTCATCAGGTAAAATGATCTGTCTGTGCAGATATGTGAGTCTGCAATATTGAATCTACATCAAGGAGGTCTGTAAATATTCCAGCCATGACTGCATCCCCATGTTTATAAGGACTGCAGCAACTAAAATATGACAGTTCCATTTTTTCATACAGAAAAATTACAAATTTAAGCAATTTTCAATATAAATAGGGGCACACATACACACAAAGCACAATGTGTACCCCTCTGTTCTTTGAAAGGGATGTGGCCAAGGAAGGTCACATGGTATTTATGTATTAGGTGGACTGAAAGGGTCAACATTGGCACGGGTACTACAGATATATGTACCCCAAGGTACAAATATTTTGCAATGCACAAATACAATTCCTTTGGGGTTGGTTATTATGGAGTCATCTGTTGTTTAGAGTATGGGGGATGTTTATGTATTTTGAAAACTACCTGGGATACTCATAGTTCCCGTGCCGACAATGACCCCTTAACTATGTGTTAGTTATAAAAAGTCTGTTGTACAGACCCTGAAACTAATATATCCAATGAAAGCCCATGCAAGTAAAAAAAGTCTCAGGGCAATCCTTTTCATTATATTTTATGATTATTTTTATGAACAGTAATTTTTCTGTAAAATATGTTCATTTCAGAGACTAGATGTTAGTTTATATTAGTTAGAATTAGGTCAGTTCAAAAAGAAGTCATAAATCACTAGAGGCAAATATACTTTAGACTGTCTTTTTAAGTAAAAAGTATATTAACAGGCTAGACAATGGCAGAATGAAGGCCTGTACTATGACTGCCACAGGGGCTTGTAACGCTGAAAATTGCCATCAAGGTAAACACTGTCACTGACGGGGTCTTAGTACTACAGGATCCTTTCATGTAGTACTAAATTAATTTATATTGGGTAAATACGGTACAGGTGTGGCTAACGCAGCAGGGTTGAGTTGCACGTGAAAGTGGTGTCACGAAGTCACGTGAGAGAGGTTTCTTGGTGTATGGAGAAGAATGAACAATCATTTGAGGTCTTCGCACTGTGCAGGCGAGCAGCTATCTCCATTAAATTGACTGAGTAAATGATTCCGTATGGAAGTTGTTCATGCTGTTTGGCAGTTGAAACCTTATGGTACTTTTGCGTAAGTTCAAGTGTTTTTGAAGAGTCATTATCAGCCAGTAGACCATGAATGGGGCGGCGGAGCTGGAGACGTCTGACGATATCTCGGAAATTTACAAGATAAGTATTCTTCTTTAAAATTAGATATATATATATATATATGAACATATGAAATGAATATACAAATTATTGTGAATTTGAGTTTTATCCTAACGTGTATTAAGTGTTTTAATCATTCTCTTAAATATTGCAACTATCTGCTAATTAAAGTTAATTTTGCATACATTGTTTTGCAGGAAGACGAATGTACGGCCTAAGCATCGCGTAAACATTGCACATGTACTTTGTAAATAAACCTGCTCGTCTGCTCGTTGAGCTGGACATAACCCTAATGTGTGTTTTGTTATACAAAATAAATATTTTATGTTCGGTTGATCGAAGAGAATTAGAACATAAGACAGGGTTACTGACAGTGTATATCTTGATGGCATTTTTAACGTTACAAGCCCCTGTGATGACTGCCCACAGTTTTATGTTTCTAAAAGAAAGGGACAGCCAGGTGTTCGAGAAGCACGTTCACAGACAAAGTTATTTATTCATTAACCTGTGCTGTGCCGTCTCCGTCCATTCTCGAACACCTGGCGGTCCCTTTCTCTGCACTCCTCCCTCGTAACAAACAGTGAACTGTGTCAATATTTTAATGATAGTTTGTTAAACAACTTTATTATTTTTAGGCAAAAATTCTGCAAAAACCTCACAGAGTGGGTATGATGTTTTGATTATGATCAGCGTTTCATTGAGTATTTTATGTTTATTAGTTTTCGAGTTAGATTGCAATTCATCGGTCCGCTTTTGAGCCAAACGGACTATAGGCCTAGCGGTAGGTTGGTCAGATAACCTATGAGTTTTAATGCCTGGTGACATACCCCTTGTCATGAAGTTCTTTGTGCAGAGCCTCGACGTCATTGAGTTTATCATTGCAATCCTGCAACTCCTGCAGATAGCCTGATGGAAACTGTACTGTCCTCGTCCCAAGTTTCACCTCCCTGGTCGCCATCTCCGATGTCATGTTGTGTGAAAGCGGGGTATCAGTCAAACATAAGATAAAAATAGTTTTTCCTTTACATTACAATCGCCATGTTGAACAATAGTATATGTCCCATGTAAATCACATGATCTCATCACGTGACCCACACATACGGCGCATTTCTGTGCATGGGCGGATCCAGGAATTTTGACGGTGTGTTTCACTGTGTGTGTGGGGGTGGGGGTGTGTGGTGTGTGGTGGGTGTGTGTGTTTTTAAGGGGGTTCGCCTCCGCCAAGCAAGGCCGCCAAGAGGAGGGTCCGAACCCCCTGAACCCACCCTCTGGATCCGCCAATGGAGTTTTTCGGTGTTTGGTTGGTTCGATTGCTGTTTAACGCCGCACTCAGCAATATTCAAGCTATATGGCGGCGGTCTGAAACTAATCGAGTCTGGAGTGAGTGAGTGAGGGAGTTTAGTTTTACGCCGCACTCAGCAAACTTCCAGCCATATGGCGGCGGTCTGTAAATAATCGAGTCTGGACCAGACAATCCAGTGATAAACAGCATGAGCATCGATTTGCGCAATTGGGAACCGATGACATATGTCAACCAAGTCAGCGAGCCTGACCACCCGATCCCGTTAGTCGCCTTTTACGACAAGCATGGGTTACTGAAGGCCAATATTCTAACCCGGACCTTCACGGGTTTAATCGAGTCTGGACCAGACAAGCCAGTGATCAACAGCATGAGCATCGATCGACGCAACTGGGATGCGATGACATGTGTCAACCAAGTCAGCGAACCTGACCACCCGAGTAGGTGTAACCATGCAGAGACCATATAATAAATGTTATTGTCTCTGGTGTAACCCACCTAGGTTTAGTTTGACGTAACTTATGTAAGCCCACTTTAGTATCCCACTTCTTTTGCATTACATCATGAACGTAAGCTCTAATCATAGGTTACAAGAACCAAACAGAGTGGCTGGTTCATATATACAGTGAATAAAAAGTTAAGTGCCACCCAGTATATTTTGCCAATGTAGGTTGTCTCATAGGAAATCTTTCAGAAAAAACAACTATCATAATTTGGTTTAGTACTTTTAGTTTAAAAATAAAACCATTATGGAAATTATCTTTTACTTTAAACGGGGTGTATGCGCATTTGGAAAACATGCATTTTGTTTTCCTCAAAAAGGTTACCTATTTTTGAAAAGTGAAAATCAGACATGGCTGTTATATGGTCACATGATTGTCACCTAAGTTTAATAGTGTTGTATTAGTCTGTCTCACAATCCCTGAACCACATTATTTTCCCTACTGCCAAGCCCTCTCTGCAGTGCTAAACCCTAAATAAAGCAAGTCTAGATTTCCTCAGGTTCTGAATCTCTGGTCTCCCTAGGGCTCCTTTTCAATTTAAATGGGCTTGTTTGTTACTGTCAAAATATTATTTATTCAGAGACTAAGCATTAGTCTAGTGTTGTATAAGGAGAATAGATATAGTTATTTTGCTTTAAAAAGCAGTGCCATCATATCTTTAACAATATTTCCTTTAATTGTAAATACAATGATTATGATATCCCTAAACCAGTTACCAGATGAACCTTCTCTAAACATGGATTGGTCTTCCCAATTATATTAGCCTAACATTTCCACAGCTTCGCATCTTAGTTTTGAAATAGGCTGGCGCTTAACTTTTTATTTTCGGTATATATCAGAGGAGTTCTTAGACAGTTGGACACTGAACATGACTGGAACAGCAAGGCAAAGTGTACATGTAATGCTACGTGACGATTTAGGAGTCTTCATAAAAAACGTTATCAGCCATCTGCGGTGTTGAGACATAAACGTTATGGTGTGGAGAGAGATAACCTTTACCAGATGTCCACGTCTCTGCTTCCGGTAATTGCAGGAACTGGCAGATTGTTTTCGGGTGGCCAAATATGTGGTCTTTGGCAGTGACACTAGTGTGTGCAAATATCTCGACTGCTGCAATTGCTTTAGTTGTATTTTTTGAATACCCTCTGTAAGATTATTTGTGATATAAAAGGAATACATATGTAACGCTACCTATTATCCTGGGAATTACATACTGACGGGCACGTTTTGCCCAGTAGTTTTAGGCGCACCTGTTAGCCTGGATCGGGGGTTCGAATCCCAGATTTTTTAATAAATAATGATCTTTGCTTTGTCACCACATATGTTATGTTGGCACTAAAAGAGAATGGCTGTCGGCAATTCTTCGACATCTCGTCCAACGTGAAGTGTTTTATAACTGCAAAATGTTTAACTGTAAAATGTTTAATAGCTGAGAGTTTCACAGTCACATTTGACCACTTTCTAAAATGGCATTGTGTATTCATAGCTTTCGGCCGTAGGAGCCGTGTCAATTTACACTCATCAAAGGGGTACACAAAGTCCGTCGTCAAGACTACCAGTTGCCCGACTTCCATTTTTGTGGAAGCCGTGGTGGCTGAGCTGGTTAGGCGGCGGACTCCGTGTGCTGGCCATTAGGTGCCAGAATCTGAGTGTGCTATCGAATCCCGGATGGTACTCAACCCAACAAAATTACTAGAATCTGTATTTTACTAAGAATGAGTGAGTGAGTGAGTTTAGTGATACGCCGCACTCAGCAATATTCCAGCTATATGGCGGTGGTCTGTAAATAATTGAGTCTGGACCAGACAATCCAGTGATCAACAGCACGAGCATCGATATGCGCAATTTGGAACCGATCACATGTGTCAACCAAGTCAGCGAGCCTGACCACCCGATCCCTTCAGTCGCCTCTTACGACAAGCATGGGTTACTGAAGATCAATATTCTAACCCGGACCTTCAGGGGTACTTTACTAATAAAGTGAAATCCAAAATATAACATTTGTTACATTTTACCACTTTCTAAACTGGCATTGTGTATATGTTACAGTCACATTGTGAAATCAGTCATTTCGTGAAATTACTATGAGGATCAGCCATTTCGCTATTGGCTATATAAATAGGTTTGGACGTTTCCATCAAATTTGATGTAAATGTGCTTAATAACGATTGCCAGTGTTCGTGATGCACGAAAGTCGCCAAAACGCACTTTGTGGCCCATTACTTTTCAAAACCATATACAATTACATATAATTGTATATAATTATGCTACTGTCTAAGTTGCAGTTGGTCAATTGCAAACATATACTTACTGCCAATTAAAAAACAACATTATTTCATTTGCATTATTTTATTGAACATTTTGAGCAAGTATTAAATATATGGTTCTAATACTGAAAGTAACTAAAGGAAAATACTATTACAAGGTTAATGCATTGCCAAAACAATTAAATAGCCGGGTACAAAACGATGAAACAGGGCCTATGTCAAACGCGGGACAGGCTCGAACACTTCAAAACGACAGCTCAACCATTAGGAGATTGGTGCAGGTTTCACAGTGAGCTCAGCAAGTCGAATCTCTGTCGATCCCGGAAGCCAATCTGTGTTCTGTCTGCTCTTGTCCAAGCACTTGTACATTGAAGAACTGACTGCGGCTTATGTATCGAACCTTGTGTTGTGTTAGTCCTTGTATGTGTGTTGATGGTACATGAGTATTTGTGTAAGTAATTTGAGGAAATGGTCGTCAGACCCTCGCCTTGTGAAGCTCTCACGATCATGCGAGTTGCCAAGTTAAGTCCGAAACAGACGGAGAGGTAACCTGGATCCTCCAGGTAGGATGTAGCCTACATCGGTTACCTGGGCGCCTTATCGTTCCGTCTCCGTCTGTTTCGGACTAAACTCGGCAACTCGCATGACCGTGAGAGTTTCACAAAGCTATGGAGTATTGTAGGGTCACTTGACGGCTGTCAGAAACAACAATATCAATATACCCATGGACAGAAGGGGTCGACTGTTTCTTCCACTGTTATGCCATACAGCATGTAAATGGCAAAATTGACAGACAACACAAAGGCGTCATACGGCCTGTCTCCCACACAGGCGTCTTCGTCTGGTGTTATGGTTCTGTCATTGTTCATGTCAATGATGATCCAGAACATCTTAGAACCTTGGAAAACAATCTTTTCGAACTTGTTTATGTCATCATCTCTCAATTCTCTGAAGTTCTGCACGAACTGATTCTCTGTGATGCTGTCATGGCCTCTGAGTATAAAGAATTTGTACCACCTGGGCAGAAACTCCTCACACTTTGCGCGGACTGTAGCTGGGTGATCGGATTCAGTCACGTGTCTTGCCGTACAGTTTTCTGTATCCGCCAGGGAAATAACATTGTCGTAATTGTGGTCCATTGTGTGGAACCACAGTCGGAACCTGTCCCACAACTCATCTTCCACACTTGCATCTGTAACAAATCAGAATTATGTAAAACTGCAGCAAAGCGAGGTGCGGTGTAAAACTGGTTTAACGCCGAGATGCTGTTGCACATTAATAGGGGGGTGTCTGTGTGTCCGTGCATGTGCGCGTGTCTGCGCCTTTCTCTGGACTGATGCCGGTTTCACCCTGCTAGCCCACGAGGTAAATTAGCCTGCAACTTCACTCGAATACCCAACTCAGACTCAGTATGCTGGATAGTGCTTGGTGGAGTGGAGTACATAACACCATCTTGGATCAACATGAAATACTTACATACTAACAGTTAAGATATCCTTACGATATATTTCTACGACAGAAAACAGATTGCAATTTATTTTCTTACCATAGCTTTATATATATACACTCACAGACGAACATATCAATATTAAATCTATAACCTTTATATGTCTCCATCCAGGACATCAATATCAAATCATGGACCATTTTGGAACGAGGCATGAGCAAGTATTTCTTTTGAACCACGAATCTATGTTATCAAGTACAGATGTCGTCTTCATCAGTGTTTACAATCAACTGCCCACTGGCTTTATTTAATTGAAAAATGACTTGTAGAGTAAATTCCAATGAACAATGAAAGCATAATTTGATTTGAATCATATAGTTCATAATTAGGTCCTGTCCTCAGCCATATTAATTAAACTTTTATATCGCATCTTAAATATTGCCTACATATATCTATGATATTGGTATAATAATTCCAAATAAATATAAAATGTATCGGACAAAGGAAGTAACATAATCTTGCTAGTGTAGTTTTTGTTTGAAAGCAAATACGACGAAATTCTGAAATTCAATTTACAATTTCTAAGATGATGAAGTTTAAAGAGGATGTTCAGAATTCATAGACGATGTAACAAATATAACTACATGGTAAACGATTATTTACACCCATTGTGCTCCCACGACCTCCGATAATTCACGTGCACTGGGTTGAGCAACCTGTGATGATTCACCTAAACATTTCACATAATGTTCTGCAAGGCAACAACTTTGAAGTAACACAGCTGCAGATAAGCGTAAAGATGTAGCATTGTTTGTATTTAAATCAAGATGCCAGACAGAACTAAGTTTCACTTTACTGCGAAACAAATGCAGAATATACATGTCAAGCTTGAGCAGCCCCACTTTACAACGCCCGGAACCATAGCACGGAGATGAATTAAGGCCTTACTGTTCATTGTAACTTATTTGGACCCAAGCATGTCGTACATATATGCTCGTGCTATTGTGATTAAGTACCTCAGTTAGGTTACAGATGTGTTCCACTTTAATGAAAGTTTCTGCCAAAGTTGGTATTACAGAATTACTGGTTTAATCACACCCTCTGCTCACAACAACCTATCTAATGCTCTTACTCCGATATTCACTCCTGTATATTAAACACGTATCTACAATTTCGGTTTACAGTTAGCTAATACAGACCTGCAAACGTACTGCTCACAGACAACAAAACTCCAACAAGAACAGCCGCACGCATCATGTCAACCATGGCCGCTCCAGTTAGAACTTGGAATGGACAGTATGCCGAGCGTCATGCAACTAAATCTACTCACATGACATTTGGTATTTCAAAAGAATGGCAATTTTGACAGTGTCAAAATGTCAAAATATTCCATACCAGGCACTGGTGTATAACCATTTTCCCCAAAGTTATATTTGGGGACAACAAAGGCAATTATAGGTAATCATTGACAATGTTAAAATGATCTCAAATTACGATTTTTGGGAAAGATTCCGTGGGCCAGTGGATAGAGCACGTGATCGGAGATCAGACGCTCGGTGATTCATTCCCCTCAGTTAGTCAAACCAAAATGCTATTAAAGATGCTGCTTGTTGATACCCTGGCTGGCATCGGTGTTAAGGGATACAACAAGGACCGCTGGGCTTGCAGTCAGTGTGTTGGGCTTACACGTGAAACCGCAGCGTCCATGGTATTGCGGAGGGCTAGCACTGTCCACGAGCCTGAGGCGACGACTTTGGATATGTGCCCTTTGCCTAGACTGACCATGACGGTCAGGTTTTAGACATTGAGATATCACGCTGTGCAGTGCAAGGTCCTTGACCCACACACATACGTAAGATTCCCCGACGTAAGGAGATGTTAACGAACATGTATAGACAGCGTTGTGGGGTGAGGTTCCTGTCTGTTGTAACCGGGTGTATAATCAGAGGGGATACACCAAACGTTTGTTAAATGTATTAAACAGACATAGAAAATAGACTTTCGTAGCACTTTGGACATATTGAAACAATTAAGTAGTTTGAATAAACGAAGTTTTAAAGAAACTTATTCACATGGGTTGCATTATAACAGACAGACACACAGACAGACAGAGTTTATTTGCAGTAAAAGGCCATAGGCCCAAAATACATTCAAAGGAAATTTCAGTGTAGTCAGGGGCACAATGTGCTTTCATGTGTTTATAATAATCCTTTAACATAAAATAGATACAAGGCAACAGATTTTACAGTGTCTACATTAGTATTCTTGAAAAGATTTGCTAAAGAATATACAGTATAAGGCTTTTTAACACATTTTGTAATAAACCTCTCTCTTAGGTGTGAATAGGACTCACAGATGAACAGTACATGGAATTCATCTTCAATATAGGTAAGACCTTTAGATTTGCATGATGTACAAAATCTTTGATTATAATCAGTGTTGTTATAACGCCCAGTTTCTACAGCTATTTTAAAATTACTACACCTAAATTGTGCTAAAACAGCTCTTAAATGTGTAGAAAGGTTAAACGATAAATAACATTCAACATTTAACGCTGATTTAAAATACTGATAATAGTTGCATTTGGAAGAATTACTCAGGGAAGAGTACCAGGACTGTTTTAAATTATCTGATAATCTTTGTTTAAATAAGCTTATAAACATCTTTACATCACCAACATCTTGGCTCAACCAAACATATCCAAAACCAAAATTAAACAGAAGATTTTTAACTTTTGATGCCCATGTAGTTCTACCACTATCATCTAAAGACTTGAGCATAAGGTAGCTTTGAAAAGGTAATCTGTCATGAGGAAGTTGTAACAATCTACACCAATATTTGATTACTCGGGTCATATAATTAAGCTGCAGGGGCAATCTGCCACATTCACCCAGGGCCATGGAATTACAAGATGACCTATTTATTTTCAGATACTTTTTACAAAAATCAAGCTGTACCGATTCAATACTTTTACAATAGGAAGTTCCCCATATTTCTGATCCGTAGCATAATATTGGTGTGATCAGTGCATCAAAAATTTTGAATAGATCTGTACAGTTAATGTTTCCGAATTTCCTTTGAAAGTGATTAATTGATAAAATTGCCTTTCTAGCTTGAGAAGCTAAACATAATTGTGCCCTGGACCAAACAAGTTTTGGTGTAAATATGATGCCAAGATATTTATAAAAAGATACTGTTTCTTTTTGTTCCCCATTAAAATACCACTTTTCATAAGATCTAAGAGGCCCACCATTTCTGAAAGCAACCACTTTTGTTTTCTTAACGTTTACTTTCATTCCTGTTTCCTCACAAAATAATTCAAGGGCATTTATCTTTTTCTGCAGTTGAATACAAGTGTCCGAAAGAGCCGAAACATCATCAGCAAACATAAGGGCATACACATTATTGAAAACAGCATTGACAAATATTCCCTTACCACCTTCATTTGGCATAATTGTGCATAAATGATTAATAAATATTATAACTATCTAAGGGCTTAAAATGCATCCCTGGCGGGTACCCACATTACAAGAAAATTGCTTAGAAAGTCCCTCAGGGGTTCTAACACAGGTACAAAGTGAATTATACATACATGTGATAATATCTAAGAACTTCCCATCTAATCCAACCTTACGAAGAGAATCTATAAGTATATCATGTTTAAGAGTATCGAAAGCTTTTGAAAAATCGATAAAAAGACAATAAAATCTGCCCTGTTTTTTACATGAATCTTCTGTATGAAAGCCTGAAGTGTAAAAATGTGGTCTGTTGTAGAATAGTTTTCCCTAAAGCCAGCCTGATATTCACAAATGATATTATTTAAATCACACCCGATTTTTAATCTTTTATTTAGAATTGATGTAAATAATTTACAAAGGGAATCAATGAGGGATATACCACGATAATTATCGGGGTCGTTCTTGTCGCCAGATTTCAACAAAGGGCAAATAATGCTCTTACCCCAACTGGGAGGGAAATAGCCAGAGTCATAAATTCTGTTGAAAAGAACAGTGAGAGTAAGAACAATGAAACATCTCGACTCCTTTAGAAATTCATTTGCAATTCCGTCTGGACCAGGGGCTTTACTGACTGGCAAAGAGAGAATAGTTGTAGATATTTCTTGTTCGGAAAATGGTTGGTTCAAAAAAGAATCATTGTTGCTTGTAGATTGTAAAGGTGAAGGTAAATGTTCTGGTGTTTTTTGCGAAGTATTAATGCATAACAGATTTGAGAAATGATCTGTCCACTGTTGGCATGTGATATTGGGTGAAAGTTGTGGTGAAGATCTGTAATTTTTAAGTGTTTTCCAAAATAATTTAGGGTTGGTGCTTGCTGCTACTAGTTTATCTTTCTGTTTATTTTGGAAATTTAATCTTTTTTGCTTGAATGCACATTTGAAGAGTGTTCGTAACTGTCTGAAGATATTAAAGTCTGCATTGTGATCTCTATGGGCTCTGAGTGCTGCATATTTGTCATGCTTTAAGTTTTCTAAGTCCTGATCCCACCTAGGTGGTTGAGTTCTTGTTTGTGAAGGAAATAAACCATTACATATGGTTTTTGTGTGATCAGCTGCTTTCTGGAAAAGAGTTACTAAATGTGAAAGTGCTTGGTCGATATTGTTATGGATGAGGGCATTTAAATGACTGTATTGATTATTAAACAATGACCGAAAGTTTGGAATGAATGCACTGTTTTCATCCTTGCACCACATATATTTTGTCCATTTATCATGTTTACCCTCTTGTACATTACTGTTTGAGGTAAGCGTATTAGAATAAGCAGTAGAGGGGAGTTTACTGTTAAGTGTGTTGATATTGAGTGTGCATGACAGTGGAAAGTGACATGAGTTATCTAGTGTGCCGACATTAAACTGCGTGATGAAAGGGAATAGTGACGAAGAAGCTAGCATGTAGTCAACTACACTGCAACCGTTATAAGTAAAGCATGTGAATTGACCACATAAATCATTTGCTAATCTACCATTTAAGGCATGAATGCCAAAAGTGCAACATAATTCAGCAAGTTTTTTCCCATAATTATTATAAACCTGATCTCTAGAAGATCGAGGCATATCAAATGTATCTTTGGGATAATCATCATTTTCATATACACAGTCAATATATTATCATCTGGTATATAATCGAAGAAGTCTTTCATTCTAGCATTATAACATCGCCATGGAAACGTCCTAGGTCACAAGGATAAAAACAGATCGGGTTTCACTATTTTCAGGTCGTAGCTATAGAACGTATTTCACATGTAATTTACATTCCTGAAAAATCAACACCGTTTATGACCAATTAAAGGCATTAAGGGCCAGTTATGTCCACAACAATACTCATTATCTATAAGTAGGGCTGATTGGCGCGTGGCGTCCCTCCAATGACGCACTATCACAGCTTGTGATGTTCTGGTAATGGGTTTAAACTGTCTGACTTGTTTGAGTGGCATTTTAGAAGTTGAGACGTACAATATAGAACAAGTTTTATGGATAACAACTTCTTTATTTCGTGAGTGCGACGTTTCGATACAGATTCTTGTACCGTTGTCAAACAAGAGTGATACATGAAGTGACGGGCTGTAAACTGTTATACATAGCACTGTATATATTGTAACGTAGTAACTCAGATAGACAATAAGAAAAGGACTATATTAAAGAGGGAATCCTACTCGAGTCTAGAATCATTTCGCAAGTCTAGATTCTGGGCCCCACTCAGTTTTTAGTAGATACATGTATTTGTATTTGGTATATATTTATGAATGTGATAACTGTATTTCCAGGACGAAATGTTTGTCTACCCATCCAAAGGCGAATCACCAAAACATTGTGTACGGCAGAGGTGTTTAAATGCATGATTAGTCCATCTAACATGAAATATTTCCGAGAATTATCTACGAGCAACAAGAAATTACACATTAACCGCCCCGAGTGAATTCCTTGTTTTAGACACGCTCTTTAAAACGAAACTTTCAAAACCAGTTCTATTCTACCCCCAAACATACGAACATGTAGAAATAGGTAGTTTTGTCAGCAACTTGACACCTTAGCTCAGTCGGAACAATTGTAACAAATAACGACTGAGTGAGTGAGTATGCTTTTACGCCGCTTTGAGCATTATTTCAGCACGGCGGGGGGCACCAGAAATGGGCTTCACACTTTGTACCCATGTCGGGAATCGAACCCAGGTATTCGGCGTGACGAGCGAACGATTTAACCACAAGGCTACCCCACCGCCCAATAACCATGTACAAAAGATGACGCCATGTTCAGTTATTTGCAACAATGCGTTGATAAGGTATC